ATAGATAAGCTGTTTAGCAAGCGATACGCTGCCCATTGAATCAAAATTTTGCCGTGTTTCAACTCTGTTTAGCTCTGATTTCCGTAAAAACTGAAATGTAGAGGATGGTTTGATTCCTATTTTTCATAAGTATCGAAGCATTTGTTCGATTCCAAGCAGTCTTTGAAAGAGAAAACCGTCGACAACTTTTATCACAGTGATTGGTGTTGGCACTTGGACTATCATTCAGGCCATTTCTAGATGCTTCTGCCCCTCAAAGAGGATGAATTCGACCGAGGGATTTGCCTCCCTAGCGCTCACAATAAAAAATTGCAAAGGCGTGTTGTTGTTCCCTTCACTTGGTATTCCAGTTGTTTGGGTGCAGATGAGATTTCTGGTTGATTAGTTATGACACCTGAGGGAGTTTGTTCGTTGCTCGTAAAAGTTACTGCTGTTCCAGAGACCGCTGGATAAAATCAATTTATCGCTGTTGAACAGAGATCGAAATTTGAAGAAAAAGCTGATTCTGTGGAAATTCGAGTCAGATTTGAAGGCTGTGTACGAGAAATTTGTGGATGCTGTGGAGGTGCGTAATTTCTACCACTAACTGGTGCCACGGATGCTTGTTGTCGTGACATGAAATTAGCAATCTCAGGACTTAATGTCAAAAAACAACGAAATCTTCATTTCATGGCTCTTGATAAGCAGAAAAAAATTTTTTTGGATCAGGCACAATGGTGTTCTGAAAAGCGAAACAGTTCTTAGTAACGCGATGGATTACTAGCTGAAAACCTAGATGGCCACGGTGCTCCTGGTCTACCTGGATTATGATCCCAAGTTGTCCGAATTAGGCTATATTCGCTTTGAAACAATTAGCAGGTGTTTTCTGACTTCCCTTGAACCGTTATTTTTCAGCGTTTGGCTGGAGGAACCGTGGAAAAATTGTGCATAGTGGCATGCCGTACTGCGTTAGAATTATTGCTTGAACGGCCGGAGCAAGAGCAGGTCTGCAGACTTTTTTTTGATGGAATTAAGAAAACTAAAGTATTACTAGTGAATGTGTTGAATTTGAAAAGAGAAGTCTTTTCGGAACTTTCAATTAGAAACTTGTGACAGACAGACGGCGAGCCCACATAAATAAGCAATTTTTTTTCACGAATGGATTATTGCTGTGCAAAATTTTGCCAATACCATGCAAAAAAGGTGAATTTTTTTGGACGCGACATGTTGTTTGCTTTGTTACTAGCCGTTAGGATGTCTTATAACAGACAAGGAGTATCTGTAAAAACAAGAAAAAAAAACATTCATTTGATCAGCTTCCGAAGAAATACATGTATTGGATAGCGAGCATAACCCATAAGTGTACAGTTGTCATGATAAAAAAGCATGCCGTGGGCGTGTGAGCACAGGCTAGTAATCTTGGAACTCTACAGGGGCAATCTAGGCATTTTTTGCCAAGTTATAATAGAAACTGTTTGTAGAAATTGCTCTCTCTGCTTGTCAATAAACTTGGTCATCCGAGCAAGACGCTGGCGACGCGTGTTTGTGGATATCTGCTGCAGTTGACTCGGAAGCAACCACTGATGCGTTCAATCGTTGTCAAAGAAGTGGAGCGACTTCTTTATAGAAAGTTGGTATTGAATATCTGTATAGATATATTTTCAAATGCTAGCGGGAATGACGTGATGGAAAAATAGCTGATCTTAAAGGTTTGGGTTCGAATCGGCCACTGGGACTGCTAATCAGTTTGTGATACGTTCATTCATACTAATAGTAATAGGAAGATGTATTAAAAACGAATGAAAAAAGAACAAAAAGGAAGGTAAAAGATGAGAATTACAAAATTTGTAAGTTAGAAGAACTGTTTTAATGGTAAGAAATGTTTCGGTCCATTAAGTCGTATACATTTTTTTATGCGTTTTGTGCTGTGTAACAGCAGTACAAAACGCATATTGTTACGGGTTTGTCTGT